TATTTTCCTTAGTATTTTGATACATGAAAATTGAATTTGGGGCGAGTAGTTTATGAGTTATAAGTATTTAAAGTTTAGACGAGCGGTGAAGTGGACAAACATTTCGCCGGGTAACCCCGAACCACTCCACTCCGCTCGTCAAAACTTTAAATACTTATAACTCATAAACTACTCAACCAAAATTCGATTTTCATGTATCAAAATACTAAGAAAAATATTCTGCTTTGGAATATAAAATTAAAACTCTATGTTGTTATTCAAAAAAGTAAAAAACTTAAAAAATTATAAGGTTAAAAAATATTTAAAAATATAATTTTTTAATAAAAACGTTGTTTTATAAGCGACTTGAAACTATGTAAAAAAATATTTTCAAAAAAATTTACACTTTTTGAAATGATGAGTGTTGTTTGATAAAAGAATCACTCAGTATATACCTACGCAAAACGAATCTGTGCAAAGACTATGTATAATTCTATGTATAATTAATAATGTAATATAATTAATAATGTATAATTCTATCTCAGTCTATGTATAATTACATACCAATTACTAAGCATATTTTATTTATGATTCTATTGTGATTTATGTAATTTATTTAACTATTAGACATTATAGTGGGAATTACAGTAGGTAAAATTAATTTTTGGTGAAAATTTGCTTTTGAAAATGTTATTTTGTGTACTGTGTACACAATTTTATTATATAGGTACTTTAAAAGTTTCAAGTACTCGTGAATAATATTTTTAACTAGCTGATCCCGTGCACTTCGTCGCCCGTTAAATGGATCAACTCAATACTACCTACTCAAACTTTGTTCAATTCATTATTCAATATTCGGTGTATGGTGTTCAAAATTTATCTTATCTTTCCCGTTGCCCTGAATAAAAATTCTGAATCGCAGCAGTACATTATCAGGTAGGCAATCTACCTGCGGTAGATCGCGGACCCCGTGCTGTTTGTACGGAAGTGTATGATTTAACTCTAAAGTATCAAAGTTATACCAAGTTTATTTTGATGTAATACTGTGGATTAATATAATAAATTTGGTTGCTCGTAAAAAATCGCAACTCTTAAAAAAATTATGATTGTTGAACTCCTTTTGGGTGTAATTTTCTGCGGTAAGTGCAACTCTGCCACCCTGGTAAGCATTGTTCAATAATTCGATTTGATGCAAGCTTGTACCTGATCTGCCCGAATAACCAATGGCAACCAATAAATAAATGCTAATTTCTAATGTAGACTGTAACCAATGGCAACTATAAATAAATAAAAATAAAATTTCCAATTTCTATCGTGAATCTCAATGTCCCTGTTTCAGCACCTATTTAAAATGCGAATTTTGGCAAATCCTTTCTTAGCGCACGTCTATATTATAATAGCTATCCGTATGCCAAATTTCAGCCAGATCCGTCCAATGGTTTGAGCTGTGCGTTGATAGCAGTCAATCAGCTTACTGTTTTTTATATACAGATATGGTTGCCATGGTAATATGGACCCACACACACACACACACACACACTGACATACATTCATTTTTATATATATAGATTGATATGAAATCTTGGTAACCTTAGTAACCATGGCAACCTTGGTAACCATGGTAACATGGACACACAGACACACAGACATACATTCATTTTTATATATATAGATAAGAACAAAATAAGTTATAGCCATAAAATCGTTATGCTTCGTTTGAATATCTAATATCATTAAAATTTGAATTTAAAATGTCTATAACAAAAATACTGTGTTTATATGATATTTAGATTTGTTGGTAGTAGTATGAACTATTTATGAGAATACTTGTTTTAAATTTGCAATCTTTAGCAATAAAAATTGAACATTTTATACATATTTAACTACAAAATAAATTGTCAATAATAACAATAATAATATGTAAAGTGATATAATGTATCAAATGTAATGTTTATGTTATGCTCATTTTTTTAGAGTTGCATTAAAAACCATAATCGATTTTGTGTTAACATTCTCGTTTTTCTTTAATTTTTTTTACCCGACGCTTTAGAAAATTACTCGGAAATTTTTAATTTTGATCTCCCAAACGCAACAACCAGAATACATTTTCACAAGAAACGATACCTTTATGTTCTGAAGTTGAAAATCGAAACATTATTTTTGACTACCTATCGTGTATACAGACACAGAAATTGAGAAAAAGGACCATAAGTACATCCTGCATTGTTGTATATTTATTATTTAAATATAATAAAAATTAGTTTTATCTACTGTATTACCTAGATAACTGGTATATATCCAGAATTCTTGATAAATAGATACATATAATTATCTGTATCTTATCTAAATTAAATGTGTTTTTGTATCTAATCTCAACACTGCGTACACCATGAAAAAATCAATACAATCATCGCTCTGGTTAGGCTCTAAAATAGTGAAGCACTGATATCGACCGTATAATTTAGGTATAGGTATAGCCGTATAGGTATATTTCGTTATTATGTCTTTGGGTGGTTGACGTGTATACTACTTACCAATTACATTATGTATATCGAGTGCGGATGTTGATGTTCGAGACAATTTTCTGTTATGATGGTCATCATTTTCATAAGATGATCGTTTTCGCTTGTAGTCTGGTAAGGTCTTGTTGGTAGCTACAGCTATGTTCTTGCCGGTATATGCAAGGGCCTTAAATAAGTCCAGATGGATTTTTATTAATATAGTGTCTTTGACTTTCAGACATAATTTTCAGACACCTCTTTATTAATCCAAATCACCAACCTCAACGAACTTTCATCGGATCATAATCCAATTCTACTAGAGCTATCTGACTCACCAATTAAAACCTCCCCTCCATCACCAAACCTCTCCATCAATTGGAAAAAATTCTATCACATTCTTAGTGAAGAAAATGCCAGTGTCAATCCCTCTGCAAACACCAAGCAAAGCATTGACAGCACCATCCAAAAATTCACAAACTCAATACAATCTGCACTAGATAATAGCTCTTACGTCCGAAACTCAAATAAGCACCATACAGTCATTCCTACTGAAATTCAGCTAGAAATCTGCGCCAAAAACCGCTTACGCAGAGAATGGCAACGGACTCGTGACCCCCAGACAAAAAGGCTACTAAACTCAAAAATACTATGTATTAGGCTCATGCTCCAGACCCATAGACAAGACGAATGGGACAAATATCTGAACTCCTTAAATCAAAATGAAAAATCAATATACAAACTAAACAGAAGCTTATTAAGAAAGAAACCAGCCACCCACCCCATCTTAGGGCCCAGCGGATTAGTGTACTCAGCTCAAGAAAAAACAGAAATCTTTGCTGATTCTCTCGAACGACAGTTTACAACCATTCATGGACCAAATCTCCCGGAAGTAGTAGCCAGTATCTCAACACTCCATAAATCAGTCACAAATAGTTCATCCATCTTCACTACTCCGGGTACAATCCAGAAACAAATTGATATGCTCGTAAAGAACAAAGCACCTGGATGGGACCAGATAACAAACACAGCCCTAAAATTTTTGCCTAAAAACAAAATATTACAACTGACAAAAATCATCAATAGCTGTTTCAAACTTTGCTACTTCCCCAATATATGGAAACTATCTCATATAATATCAATCCCAAAACCCGGCAAAAATCTCCAACTACCGGAAAGCTATAGACCAATAGCTCTCCTCTCATCTTTGTCAAAAATCTACGAGCGTTCAATTCTCTCTCACCTACAAAGTTCACTGTCTGGTAAAATAAGAGAGGAACAATTTGCCTTCCGTCAAAACCACTCCACAACACTCCAATTAACCAAACTCATCGATCAACTCAGCGCCAACCTTAACCAGGGAATACAAACAGCCGCAGTTTCCTCGACGTCGAAAAAGCTTTTGACTGCGTATGGCATGATGGGCTTCTTCACAAAATGATGAAAATGGACATCCCTTTGCAACTCATCAAAATAATTGAGTCCTTCTTATCAGATCGAACGTTTTCCGTCAAAATAGAGAGTCAAAACTCATCGTTAAGAATAGCAAGAGCAGGCGTACCACAAGGCTCGTGCCTCTCCCCCACGTTGTTCAACATCTATACAAACGACATGCCCACAGAGCCAAAAGCCCATGTGTCACTGTTTGCAGATGACACTATGTTTTACAGCTCAAATCACAATGCGAAATATGCAACACTCCAACTCCAACGCCAAATAAACATAGCTTCAGAGTGGTTCAAAAAGTGGCGCCTCCGAATAAACGAGGCAAAAACCAGTGCAATCCTCTTCGGTCGTACACAAAAATTGAACATCAAAATCGAAGTAAACAACATCGAAATTCCTTGGTCAAATAACGTGAAATATCTCGGAGTTATAATTGATCACAAGCTCAACTTCTCGAATCATGCTGAAACGATTGTCAAAAAAGCAACCAAAATACGAGGATCCCTCTACCCAGTGCTTAACAAAAAATGCCCAATCTCAGCTAGGACGAGACTAAACCTTTTTAAAATATACGTTCAGCCAATACTAACCTATGCCGGTGCATCATGGGCACCATTCCTCTGCAGATCCTCCTGGCAGAAAATTGAGGCTGTCCAAAATATAGGTATAAGAACCATCCTGGGTCAACCGACCATAGTGCGAAACTCGGTTCTCCTAAGCACAGCTGGTTTCGACACTATCAGGAACACCATCAGGAAAAATGCTGCTGCAATTTTTTATAGATGCTCAAATTCACAGTACAACCACCTCAGGAGCATAGGTCAGATCATTCCCCCACCACCTGACTTGAGATTCACACAACGCCCTAGAGCTAAACTATGGGCAAACAACTAAAATAATCCAACCAAATCAATCAGACATCCTGCGACTAGCAAAGGCTAATAGCCTGGTATAGTTTAATAGGCGAAAGCCGTTCTACCGAGAAGAAGAAGACATAATTTTTCTTATACTCCATGATGTATAATATATAATATTATGTGTATAAGTGTATAGAAAATCATAATTTAAAAATAAAATTTAAGTTTGCATAGTGCATACACAATAAACATCTACGAATTTAGAAGAAAAATTGTGTTGGAAATATTGTAAATCGTAACTACGAGAAAAATTTACCTTTTCAGTAGAAGTAGACGACCCCGCTTTCTCTAAGGTGTTCCTAATGCCATATTTGTATTTAAGTTTTCCATATTCTCCATTGTTGCTGTTTTCCGATGCGTTTGTTTTGTCCATTGTATCAAGTCGGTTTGGTTTTTTGAGGTTCTCCATATGATTCCCACGAGTATGCATGATATAAAAGTCGCACGTACCGCAGTGAAGGCTGCCAAAATAGGCTACTGTGGAAGGTTGCCTGGTCTTCCACAGGGTCCTCGTAGACACGTTTCACTGACCTCCGTGCCAAGTACTCCCCCTTTACGAGTTGGGGGTTAAGGGTTTTTTTTATCATGGTTTTTCTTCCACTAGGGCATTCGCTCAGCGGGAGCAGGCTGCCTCCGACCTTACCAGCCCTCTCTCCTATCACTTATTCAGAGAAAGGGCCAGCTCAGAATTTTTTATCGTGGTTTTCCTTCCACTAGGGCTTTGCTAGCGCTAGCAGGCTACCTCCAACCTGCCGACCCCAGCTGATTAAGGCAAAGGCGGCTCTTGAAGCTCCGACTTTAACCGGTTAAGGTCACAGCTGGGTTGGGACCGCTTGGTAAGACCTAACTAAAGGCCCGCAAGCTCCCCACCACATCAAGGTGGGTCCCGACGGGGGAGATAATGTTATTTATTTGTAAATACGTTACACAAAAACCATTTTCTTTTGCTTCATCTGGGATTTCTAAGTTTTTGAGAACAAAAATTTGAAAGGATGTTTAAAACATCGGTGGCAGCTGAAATTGTTACGATAATCTATTAATTATTCATTGTGATAGGAAATTATTTTCTTAAAGGTTTTGAGTTTCTGTCGATTTTAATATTAATAAATATATAATTAACTATTCTTTAAAGTACTTACGAGCACCCCTCCCCACACTATCACACCCACCGTCTTATTTCGCTACCAAAATTATACAACGATTATTAATTTAAAGTACTCATTCAAATTTGATATATTGTTGTGAATTATTAAAATAACTTTTACTCATATCAAAATTGCGTTTAGGTTATTTCGAGAAAACAAACATTGTCAAACTCTTATCTTAAAATCTATCACCGTTTAATCAAGTACCTAACATCAACCAGGTAAGAAATTATAATAATACATACTCACACAATTTCAACAATAGAATTATCATCAGCAACAAATTAATAAAAACACGTAGACTCGGGTGTATCATAAATCAACATAACCTTCGTTAATAAATCTATACTCACGATCCCAATCAATCGTAATAAATATATGCTTTAATTAATAATAAAATATTGGAAAAAGAAAGTTGACATTCAAAATCCTTTTAATTATTATTAATTACAATAGCTAACTATAGTAACTACACCACCTCAGTTAATATATTATTATAATTTATAAGGTAAAGTTTTATCAATAACAACGTACATGCTTATTTTTAATTCATAATTTCTTTTATGTTCATTTGGTTTTTAATGCATATAAATTGAATCACTGTCGCCGAATTAAATAATTTCGTTGTTATTCTTACCTACTACTTCATGGATATTCGACAGATTTCTAATATAATATGGTCTCATCATCTCCATCATAATGTGATCGCTTTCGCTTGTAGTCCGTTTTGGAAAATGCTATATTATTATAAATTATAAAGCGACTTGAAAATCCAAAAATAAAAATTGGTTTTTACATATAATTTATTAGTGTCACACAATCACTGGATATACAGATATAAAATATAATAAAATAGGTACATATTGTTTTTTTTAGGTAAACTAAATAGTTATAATATTTGTTTATTATTCAACGTCGATATAGACACTACCAACCTGTCAAGTAGTATCCGTGGTTTAAATGTTTATTTCTTTTCAGCCAGCTACTATCAGTCAGGTTTATTATTATATAACAAATATCGCAATATTTTAACGTCACCTAATTACATTTGAATGAATTTTTATGCATTTGCGTTATATTATAGTATATTATTATATTGATATATTATAATGTCTTATTATATGCATTATACAATAATGATGTAAGGTATAAATGTATAATAAGCATATTATTATAAATTATGTTTAAGTTTGTGTGTACACTGTACCTCGGTGATTTGAGTGAATATTATTGCATCTGATGCAATCTCCACATCATAATCTATATAAATAAAAATGGAGAGTGAAAAATGGTCGTTACCTCATAAATCGAGAACGGCTGGTTCGATTTGGCTCAAATTTTTTTTAAGATGTTCTTAATCACCGGGAGAAGGTTAATAAGAAAGAAAATTTTAGATAAATCCACCGGAAAAGTAGGAAATCTGGATGTAAAAAGTACAACGGTGGTAGAACAGTTTATTATAATTTATATTGGTTGCTATTGGTTAATCGACTATATGTTTTTTGATTTGTATTATTGTTTTTTGTCAATATATATATATACTAGCTGAATAACCCGGCTTCGCCCGTGTACAGTTTTTTTGTGTAACCTACTATAACTTTTATTTTATCAGTTTTTATATTTATTACAGGCTGCTTTTAGATAAGTTTATCCTAGGTTGCCCATGTATTGTTACAATCAGAAGTCAGCAAAAAATTACTTTATTTTAATATTTTGAAAACAAATTGTAAGATACAATTCTAATCGACGAAATGTTGAAATAAAATATACCCAAAAACATTATGGTTTTATAAAAATCCACCAATATTTATATTGACATATTTTGTTCATCTCAATACCTCTTTATAAACAGTATTTTTGGTACTGCCTTTTGGTGCTAAAATAACCAAACTACTGGCAGAGCTAACTCTAGAACATGTGACATAGAACTGTCCATGTGAAAAACATTCTTCTCTTAAGTCAATCCCTGCCATGCCCAATGATTGTCCTTGAGACTTATTAATAGTCATAGCAAAGCAAACTTTGAGTGGGAATTGTATTCTTTTAAACTCAAAGGGATAATCAGTTGGGATTAACGTTATTCTCGGGATTAAAACTATATCTCCTCTAGCACACCCAGTGATAACTATAGCTTCTATTACATTTTTGTGCAGAGATTTAACTTGCAATCTAGTTCCATTACACAATTTAGGTGGGTTAAGATTTCTTAGTAACATTATAGGTGCTCCAATTTTAAGGATAGTTTATGTGATGGAAGACCAGAATGATTCAGAGTATTAAGAAATTCTAAAGGGTAATGGACAGCATCATCCGATTGGATCACCGAATCAAAAGATTTATATTCAACAGATTTTTCATTAAATGCCTTTAGTAGAATTTCATTGATTTCGGCTGCCTTGTCGTTCTTTGGAGTTAAGATGGCTCGCTCGCACAACCATTCGATGGGTTTCATCTTGATATTTATTATATCTGGGTAAATTCTGGAAGTTAGTTCTGATAAAGAGCTAACAACTGTACACAAATTTGAGGGAATAGTGATCTCACCTTCCAATGAAGGGAAATTTCCGTCTCCTATTTTAAGTAACATCTCAGCGAAAATCCCAGCAGATGTGTCACCTTTCACATGAACCCTCATATTTTTATGAAGTGCAACTTTCTGGATATGTGGCCACAAATACGAAGCTTTTAGACATGACTTTACTTCATCAGCCCTTGTACCCCTAGGTATAACGGGTTATGTTTGCCGAAAATCTCCTGCTAGCAGCACAGTGACTCCACCCATCAAATTATTATATCCCCTTATATCTTTTAATGTTCTATTGAGGGCCTCAAAGCCACCCTTGTGGGCCATTGTACATTCATCCCAAACTATTAACTTACAGTCTTTTAGAACTTGTGCTATATTACTCTGTTTGGAAATATTGCACATAGGTGTCTCTACTCTCGTTAGGTTTAATGGTAATTTAAATACAGAATGAGCTGTTTTACCTCCTTCTAGCAATGTAGCAGCGATGCCTGAAGAAGCTACAGCCAAAGCTATTCCATGATCTTTTCGTACTCTGGCCAATAAAATATTTATGACAAATGTTTTACCAGTGCCTCCAGGTGCGTCTAAGAAAAATGTTTGGCCAGTGTTCTTTTCAATGCCCTCTAATATTTTGTTATATACATAGGACTGTTCATTATTTAGTAAATGTTCATTATATACTGTGCCAAAATATTTGAATCATAATTGATTTCTCGAAGGTAATCTTTATTTTGTAAGACTGCTTCACATCTTGATGGCTGAGGTAAACCATAATGTTGCAAAGATGTACCTCCCAGAGATAGAACAGTATCTTCAAGAGTAACTAAGCATTTATTGTATACTTCATTAATAATTGAATTCACATTCTCGGGTTGTATATCCAACTCCACTCGATGTCGTATATCTTCTGAAAGACTGTCCTTGTATTTTTCCCAAAGACTTAAAGCATCTGACAATTGACAAAATATCAACATAATTGCAAAAAGTTCCCGTAATTTAAATGGAGAACCACAAAGCACAGCTTCTTCCATAGTTGTATCCCAGTGCCTTTCGTCTTCCAGTAAGCCTAGAGCCTTACACGCTGTCTGATAAGTAGGTTGAATTGTGCCGTTAACAGTTTTCAATTTCAAAAAAGATGTAGGACCTCGGACTTCATGAAGTAAAAGGCGAAGATAGTAACACTCGGTATTATTAGGTGAATGGTATATACTCTACCCAGAGCTTGATCTCGTTTTATTCCCGGCCAACCATTTACGTTAATTCCACGTTTTCTTCTCTCAAATCTATTATTTTTCCATACATAGTAAGAGGGAACATCAACATAAAGAAGTGTTTTTGCAAAATCATCTGTTTTACATAAGTCGAAAAATGCTAAAAGAGTAGTTTTTGGTGGATTGTTAATCATGTCTGTTAAACGACTGGAGTCATTAGGGTTGAAATAAACACGCTGGCCATTTTCTAAATGCACGGAAAGATGGAAGACTGTTGGAAATCTCTCGTGGATAGGAAAAGCCAGAATTCTCCATACAGCCTCAGAGCTGCTGATATATCGACCACTTTCATAAAGCTTGACTTCATCATTATCATTTTCAAAACCAAATGCTGCTTGATCACTTCCTTTTGTAATATATTTACAAATGTATTTTATAGATTTTACAGAGTTACAGTACTCTACATTAATATGAGCACCAAATGTACGTGAAAGCACTGGGTTATACGGTACTACCCAACGATTATCAAGTGTATTACCATTTATTTCAACAGTAAAACCACCATTTTCTGGAGCTCTTCGCCTATACTTTGGATACCCGTCGTCTCCTGTCTATGTTTCTTGAATGAAAGTTCTAGGATACTTCTTGCTACAGCTACCTGACTCCATACAGGGTGATCTATTGTTTGAATTACCGCAAGGCCCATGGATCATATTGGCTTTGATAATATCGTAAAGGAGAGAATCTTTTTCAGGATCAGGTATTTCCGCACTAATGATACAATCTAATTTATTTGGAGAAATGCGCTGTTTTAGCCATAACAAAATATGTATGTGTGGTAAACCACGTTTTTGCCATTTGACCGAATACATAAAACATTGCACTTCCCCAAACAAATTCCCTTTTGTTAACAATTTCATTAACGTCTTAACTTTTAAATGAAATATCCTAGCTATAATATCATAACGATCGTAGGACTTTTGTTCAGAAAGTAATGCATTTGAAACTTCTCTCCATCGAGGATTACATGTAAAAGTTATGAATAAATCAGGACGACCGTAATGACGAACGTATGTCATGGCGTCCTGAGTTTTTTCATGCATATACCGTGGTGAGCCAGTAAAAGACGACGGAAGAACTACCATCTGACCAAGATGGGTAAGATCGGTATCTTGTCTCCCAATAGCATCTCTGAGATGTATGTAATTATCAGCTCTGAGTTGCATTTGATTGTTTTTAATAAAATTTAAGCTCTCTGTTTCAATTTTAGCGTACATATCAACTAAATATTGATTAAAAAGTGATCTAAAGTACAGTAAATGGTTGATTTCCGTTTGTCTAATCATGGTGTGGTAAGAATAAAATTGCGATGCAGAAACTGTTTTCTGAAGTGGTAATTTAGTTTTTGGATCAATCTGAGAGATATTAATGGAATAACCATCCTCCCCATGACAGAAAAGTAACGGGTACTGAAGTGTATCGTGTCGACGGTGCAATTCACTAATCCGTTGCAATTTGTTATCATGACTTTGTAACACAATATCTCGTTTTTCAAACTGTTGTCCAACTATGACCAATGATACTTCACTTGTTGTTGGTGCATTATAACGTCCTCTGTGAGCATTATCAGGTTTTCTATCAGCGTGTATTATAATTTCAAAGTTTTTACTATTTTGAGGTACTCTTTCGAGTGTGGTTTTCAAGTCCTTTATGTATGGGTTATTATGGTGCAACATCGCTTGTAATTGTTTTACCAGGCTTTGCTTTACATCAGCGAAGTAGCTACATCTTAAGCGTGTTTCTCTCTCATCATCTCCAACGAAATAAATCTGTAGAAATTGAGGGTTTTGTTGAGGTAAAGCTTGCAAACTACCAATTAAATGATACACCTGACCTTTCACTTTGAATGTGGGCATAAATCCATCTTTGATAATTTGTTTCGCTCCAAAAGATGTCATTTGGAAGCAGTTATTGTATTTTCTAATACGGTCCATGAAATTTTTGTGATCAGGATGGAACCCCATAATCAAACTGTAAAGAGGTTCAGGAAGAGGTAAAAAAGACGGAAGTTGTACTTTACCGGCACTACAACACATTCCAGGCGCCTCTTCTTTGAATTTAAGAGCATCGCAGTATACGCATTTATGACTCATAGTACCCAAAGATACAGTTTCATCCGTCTCATAAGCTATTTCCGATTCATATTTCATGCCGGAAAAAGCTTTTATTTTCCATGGAAGGATTCGCCTCTCTGATCGTCCTCCTGGATTATTTTGTTCATATCTATGAACTTGCACTCTATTTACTTCTGGATTTTTTTTTTATACTTGGCTGCTGCTACTTTATGAACTTCTTTATTTTTGAGCTGATATTTAGTAGCAGATTGTATAAGCTGTTTTTTTCTGATATTATTTGTAAATCTCTTCCGTCGTTTTTTAGTATGCTTCTGAGAGCTGGGTATGTTATCAAACTCATCAGATACAGAGTTAGTCAATTCATCTTCATATGGTAAATAAACATCAAAATGCCCATTAGATAGGTTTTGCATAGAACTAAAACGAAATCTCTTTACGGGGTTCCTTTCTGAACCAAATTTTTCATACAGTTCACCATTGAGGTACACCTCAATAAATACCAAAAATAATTGTCCGGCTGCCACCAGCTCACATAAACCTCCATAAGTATTAAATTTTAACATATCACTAAAGTAGTCAGCAGAACTACGATAATTATTTCCATCACTATCATGTGACATTATTGAATAATCTTCCCAATTATTTATCACATGGGTTACTATCTTTTTACGTACTTCTTGGGCCTTATCTTGAGTGTCATATAACACAAAAGATATTGCCCTAAACAGGCAAGCTCCGTCACCAATAATTATTAATTATAACCAATGTTTATAAAAAACCGTACATAAACAAAAAAAAACAAACATGCCCGATTAACCATAGATTATACTGTATTAGCCAGTACATCGAGCTGATGTATTAATTGCCATAGAGATGTCTAAATTGTTATTATCATATCAATATAAATTATTTTTATTTTTAATTCACTCATTTTAATACCAATATTGTATATTTAAATTAAATATTGCTTGATAGATGGCGCCACTATCATATTCTTTCAACCCCACTTTTACCCCCTTGTAGGTCGAATTTTCAAAAATCCTTTCTTAGTGCGCCCTTACATTGCTTAAGGAACCTCTGTACAAAATTTCAAGTCTCTAGACCCAGCAGTTCCGGCTAGGCGATGATGAATCACCCAGGACAAGTCTTTTTATATATACAGATATATAAATTAATGTTTGTGTGTAGATTAGATCTCCGGGCAGAATACAGGCTAATTTAAAATTGATTAAATTTGGTTTTTTTTTATTCATCTGACATTAATAATAATAATAATAATAATAATGTTTATTGCAACAACAGAATATATACATTATTTACAAAAAATATGAGTTAAATATTGCAGCACCCCTATAAGCAAAGCTTGTGCTGGGGGCGCGGTTCTTATTATTTAAAATGAATACATCACAAACAAAATAAAATAACAGTTAATACAACATACATTAAATAACAATAAGTTAAAAACAAAAATAGTTGTATTATTATAACTTTTGACTATTACAAACTAGATAGTAGATAGGTCTAAATGTTTAACATAATTTTTAAATATTAACACATTTTCAAAGTTGTTTATATTAATATTTAATGAACGACATAATTTCAAACCCGTGTACAATATACTATGTTGACCAAATACTTTATTCAGGTTTGGTAGCAGTATATTAATATTTTGTTTATATCTCGTATTGTGCTCGTGATCTAGCAATGTAATTAAATTTTTATGTTTATATAAATCGACCAAAACCGATGATTTGTAAATGCATATTAAATGCTTTACATTAAGTTCCTTATAAATCAATGATGTACTAGTTGTCGTGGGAAGATTAAGTAAAAATTTGATAATTCCATTAATAGTAACTATAAGTTTCGATAAAACATTATTTGCGGCTCCTCCCCAAATAGAAATACCATAGGAATAAATTGATTGAACTAGTGAAAGAAAAATCATTCTTTTATAATAATTATTAAGTAAGTATCTAGCTTCTTTAAAGAAGTAGAAGAATTTACGTAAAGCATTATTAATATAATTTATATGACTTTCCCATTTAAATCTAAAGTCAACAATTATCCCAAGATATTTTATTTCATTTACCTTTTCAAGTATATTACATTTAGAAGTACAAGTTGAACTAAGATGATAATTACATTTTAACGAATGAACAATAAGGTTATTTTTTAACAAGCAATTTGAATAATTCGATGCTTGCAGTTCAAAACAAATATATTTTGATTTTATCAGATTCAATTTTAATTTATTTTTACAAAACCAAGTGTAAATAGTATTTAATAATTTGTTGGCTTCGGTAAATAGTATATCAACTGATGGTTCGGACAATAAAACAGCAGTATCATCAGCGAAGCTTAGTATTTCGGAACTTGAATTAATTTTTAGTTTTAATAAATCATTTATAAAAATAACAAATAATAAAGGACCTAATACAGTGCCTTGTGGAACTCCACAAGATACATTAAGAGAGTTACTTGACATATCATTACATTTAACACTTTGTGTTCTATCGCTCAAAAAAGATCTAAAAAGATTATTTGAAACTCCTCGTATTCCAGCATTTTCTAATTTTCTTAATAATAATTCGTGATTTACACAATCGAATGCTTTTTGTACGTCCAAAAAAATACCCATTACTTTAAAATTATTATCCACAATTTTCCTAATAAAGTTATCAA